GCAACAGCAAAGAAGGCTATTAACAATTTTTGAAGTTGTTCCAATGATGAGAATCCATTCTCTCCTCAGGTCATCTTTACTTAGGAAGACTATTTCATAGCTATTTGCCTTTTTTATGCATCAGCTCTTTTCACTGCAAATGTTTCCTCAATCCTTTTTGAGAGCTCTGGAACTTTTCAACCTGTAGCAAATCTCTATCGCACTCTTCTTCCAAGGCTTCCGTGCAGCTGATCCTCTTTCATACATTCTCAATTTACCTTGCTCACTCTATTCCTATCCCCATTTCACACTTTTCTTTCAGTTTAAACTAGTCAAATTTTAGTGTCCTGCAGCTTTATTCCTGATTCACTCAAACCAAGCGAATAATGAGATGAAGGAGCTCCCCATTAACCGTACAGACTGCACATGAAAGAAGAGCCCATCAGTGGTGCAGATCCTTCTTCCCAACTATTCTGCCTGCTGAACAATGAAAATGCTTTCCTCCCCCAGAGGCATGGATAAGGAGATGCCTGCCTACACACCTACTACAAAAGAAGCTGTACCAAGGAAACACCTAGTCAAAGTGAAGGACTGCACCATCACAACATATCCTGGAGGGTACACAGCTCTAAAGGAGGCTGTACATTCCAGTCTCCAAGTTCCTTCTGCTCTCCGTAACTCAGGTGACACCCCTGAGAATCATTTCTATCTAGAAAAAGTAATATTTACTAAAAATAACTATTTACACCATAAGAATGAATCATAGAATCTAGAATTGACCGGGTTGGAAAAGACCTGCGAGATCATCAAGTTCAATCCAGTGAACATAATATTTAATCATTTCAAGCATCTCCGCCAGCTTTCATTCATTGATATATTGGGTGTGGCCCAACTGAAAACTCAAAACCTGCAGCAGTGCAATGACCCTCTTGGTTAGGTACCTCTGCATCCCCTCAGGGCAATGCAGATGTTTTTCAGAGGACTGAAGAAGACTGAAAGCCTTCAAAATGCACTAGAGCTAAAAATCCCTACTGTGGGAGATCCTACAGCCTTCAAGATAGGAAATGAAAACAGACAAAAAGTCCTCAGTAACTCAAGAAAGCCAGTGGGATTTGGACTCCAGATTCTGGTGGCCTCTTACCTTCTAAAGCTGCTGAGCCACATTCACTTCTCCGCAAATTAGTTCTTTAATTGCCATCGTACATTAACTCCTCCACCACCTAATCTTCATTGCTTTTGCCAGTTTTCCCCCAGCAGACAGTGATTAAAATCTGGCAAACACAGCACACATAAATGCTGTGCACACCTCTGGATTTTTTCCCCCTCTCAAATTAAATGAGCAGGGCATAAAAGAACACACAAATTTACTTAACACTCACAATGTTAATTACAACTGTACTTCTTTAGACTGAAAACTAACAATTATTTAGAAAGACATGGTATGCTGAAGTCACACTACTAACATTTCAAGATTATACTTCTTGTTCAGATCAGTGAACAAAATTTTTCCACTTACACAGCAACAGAACTGTAGCTTACACATATTAACATTTCTGAGTCTTACTGAACGAAAATTTCCTGAGCTACTAAAAAATAAAAATCAGAATTCACCTGGATATATTCTCCTAAACAGAATCACATGGTAACATGAATCAACTTTTAAGCAGTAAAATATATTTAAGGGCCTGAAATAAGCAAATGTTAGTCTTCCCAGTAGTTTAAAGTGTTCAGGTAATCTAGGAGTTTATTATACTGTGTAAATCATTATATTATTTTAAAACTTAGGGAAGCTGAAAGGTTAAAAAGGCAAGCTCTTCCATTCTTTACTTGCTTCCTATTATTATCCCCAAAATCATTGGTCTTTTTCACAAAGTAACATGGCTAGACAGATAAAAGCTAAGGCCCAACTAGCATGGCTACAATGTTTAAAAAACATAAGTTCTTAGATGCTTTCATAAATTTAGCACTGGTCAGTTAGAACAAACCAGAGTTGCGATTTAATTTTTCCATTAATATTTTTTTGAACTAGAAGCAACAGATTAACCACCTTTGTTAATATCTGTGTTAATATCTGCAAAGCATCAAAAACCAATATGGAAGTGAGCAAAATGCCCGAGTAATACTAAGAAATCTGGTTTAAAAAAGGTTACACACACCTACACACCTTCTAAATCCTGAGTGCAAGGAAGCCAATGTAGTGCAATTACGCTGGAAAAGCCGGTGCTGCTTATAAAACGTTGTGCAGCTGTTGGAGGAGAGGGTTACAGTGACAAACAGCTTCCCTGCTACAAAGGTGGCAGGAAATCTATCAAACTGGACAATAAAATTGCAATTGAGTTTCTTTGGCTTTTTATAGCAGCTGCATGTATCTTGATGTGTAGCTCTGCAAAACCTATCCAATTCTGTAACACTAGTCCTTTATGTACTAGTTCTTTATCATAGAATGGTGTTATAAATTAGTGGCAAGAATGGCACAGAGGGCCGTAAAAAGGAAAAATAAGCAGCAACCCAATACAATTAGAGATGAAATAAGAAAAACACAAATTGGTTATTCTCTTAGCAATGTTAAGGAAATATTTTTGTTGCCATAATTCCCACATTACTGTGAAAGCATGCTAGAAATCAAAAACATCTGAGATGCACTTAGCATTGAACAACTGGCCCACTGAATTATGTCTACACCATGTTGTGTGTGAATCTCTATGAATCTCAAAAGAGGTATAACAAGATACAAGACTACTTAAAGTAAGTCAAATTAGAGGGATTAAAAATTCAATTTAATCAGATATTAATATCTGTTTATAAGGACATTTTCAAGTGATTAGTAAGGTTTTACCAGAAAAGGGCTTTTTTAGTGATTTCTCCTAATTTATGTTAATGTAATTAACAGATAGTTATAAAATAGCATCTAGTTTTGTATGTCTAGTTGCATAAATTGCATATACTATTTTTATAGAAGCTCAAATGGAAAATGCATCATAAACGTGAAATTTTAAAACTGTGATATTACTGCATCATCATTCATATCACTACTGTCAAGTTAGTTTTTGGGTGCTTTTGTCACTTAGTTTTCATTCAGGCTTCTGGAACTGGACAGTCTTAGTACTGATATCCAAACAAACTGAACTCTTCTATGAGTCCTTCAAAATCTCACCACCATGCTGCCGCTCACTCGCCCCACATTCACACATTTCCAATCTTGCCACTGTTCAACTCCCTCTGAAGTAGGCTGGAAGAACAAACAGACCTTACATACTGACCAGAAAGTCAAAGTCAGACTTGGAAAACTAACAGGAAGTTACTTCTCCAACCACAGGATACCTCACTATGCCAGGAATCAAAAATGAGAAACACCAAGAAGGAAGCAGGTCATCTTCTCAATCACTGTGGCACTGCACAAAAACACACAGCTTTTAAAATACAAACAAATAAACAAACCCGTGTTATCTGCACCACTATTTTTTCTGAAACTGTGTTGGGTTTTTTTCTTGACATTTGGTCATGGTATCACAAAAAAATCTTGGGTTTTTTTCTCTAGGAACTCCAGACCATTGATTAGCCACATTAAGTCACTGAAGAGAATGACCAAAAATCCATAAAATCATTTTGACACAGATGCTGTTTAAATGAGATTTCCGACATTACATTCTCTCACAAAAAGAGTCTAAGAATAGAACTACAGATCATAAGATAACATGCTAGATAATTTTTAAGTTCAATACACCAAAGCTCAGTGTAAGAGTCAGAAAGGTGGTCTAACTTCATTCACTTCTCCATCCTTCCCCAGGGACAGTTCCCCAGCAATCACACAAAAGCTTTAAATTATGCCAGTTTCTATAAAAGTACATTAGGGTTCTTTACTCTGGCTACAGCTTGCCAATCTACAATCCACCCATGCCTTCTGCATCTTGGGGGAGAAAAGAGGAAACTGCAGAGCCGACACAAAAGAATATTAAGAACGTTTCAACAACTAAAATGTGGTCTCTGAAAGGATTAAAATTTGGCTTTGGGTGCCTTGCACCTTAATTCCATTTAGCTAAAGCCACTGCTTAATGAAATTATTTCACACACTTTTAATATATAGATTTCTACATTTGTCTGCCCATTGACCAATAATCCACCATCGAGCTATGAACAAAATAAACAGAGATGCAAAACAGTAGTGTTATTGCTGTCTGCAGAGACTCACTGTTTTTGAGAAAACAAATCATGCAAAATCAAGGATCTCAGAAAAGCAAACAATTCCTTAGAATTATAAAGTGATCTTTAGGATTCAGAGATGTCCTTCTCACATTGTTAAGTTGCACACATTTAGAAATAGGTAATCTATAATTTAATCTCAAGTAAATGTTTCTAATAACCAGAATAATCACAAGGTCCCCACTGGCTTCACTCTTTTGTTCAGGATAAGGTAGTATAAAATACCTTTTATACTACTGTGTCTTGTTTGAAAAACCACTAATAACTTTTATGATGTAATTCTGGTCGTAATAACAACAAAAATCAGACAGAACAATAACAAAGGGTAATAGTCTCATTCATATTGCAAGGATTTGCGTTCTCACCCTGTATTCCATGACAGCTTAACAGCTGAAGCATCTGTCTTAACTTTAATTTCTTTGCTTTTTACTCGTTTGTTTTACAGCCTTTTGATGTTACTAGAAGGTATTTTTATCCATGAGTAGATACGGTGCGCCACCTTGTGTTCCCACCGGTACTAAAAAAGCAAAACCAGCACTGCAATTTTTCAGAAATGCTCCTGAAATTTGATTATCTCATTTTTTGGTATCAGGATAAACTAATACCATCCCAATTTGAGCAACAAGAACAACGACAAAATCTTTGTGTTAAAACAACAGAATTAACATTTAATTGTCGTATATTTCAAAGTTATGTGCGGTAACAGATAAAAACAGGGGGCTTTCATTTAATTACTGACCTTCACTTCAACACTGATACAGCACTTGAAGGCTCTAACTGCACAGCATAACAAAAATTTCCCAATTCTTTGCAGCACTCACCTTTGAATGTGTGATCGATAGTGTGTCCACCCAAACACGCCAGCCACCCCACTCATACTTGATTGCATGGTAGAGCAAAATTCGAAATATGGTATACACCATCTCAGTTATCTTCTGTTCCTCAGAAGTCTTTGGATTAAAACAGCAAAGGGAAAGCATCCACTCCTGCCACACAGAGCACTGCAACAAACTCCTGCAAAATACACACGTGCTGTTAAATCAAACTGTAAAATATATCTTAGAAATATACATCAGCTAAGTCAGGAATTCAATGTGTCTAAAAAAAAAAAAAAAAATCTCTACGTGCAAGGTTCTCTGATTTTACATACCGAAAGCAATATTAGAGTAGAGAATTTGCTGAAAAGCAATGAAGCTGTATCGGCTTAATGAGTTTAATTTATTAGGAGATCTTATTACTTATTTTGTATAAGCGTAGAGCAAGCTATCTTACCTCCTATTTTCTCTGCTGTTATTAAAAAGTTTAATCATGTCTGAGAGAAAGGCTCGTCGAACCTCCAGAGTTTCTGGGCACTGTGGAGAATTACGTATCAGGATTGCAATAACCTTCAAAATCTCTGTAAAACAGTTCAGGAGTAACAATATATTAGTACTAAGTACAGCATAAAACACAAGGTCTCTTTCAATAGTGTTTGTACAACAAAGCTACTCCACATAAAAGAGTTTTATACTGAGAAAAAGCATATCTCTATTTGAGTAGAAGGTTTAACTAATACAAATCCCTTCTTCCAAGACTTCTCAAACCTACTCACCATAAGACCTATACAGCTAAAGAAAATGGAATCCAACTTAAATTACTCTGAACTATTTTTAAATTATCATGTTTAAGTAACACAAATGTTTCTACAGGACAACTCACAAGATGTCAGAACCTTTCTTAAAATAAGTTCACATAAAAAAAAGCACCTTTTAGAAAATCAATATATGAGAAAAACAGGTAAATTTTGTTCTACCTTAGTAATATTGAGTTTCAAAGAATGTGACCAACTTCCTAATATACTCAACAGTTTCTGTTATAAAATGATACAAAATTTTTATCTCTAATGATCACAACGTTTTCTGTATTTTTAGGAGAAAGTCAAAATTGTGGGTACATCGCACTTTTTGAAGCAGTGGGGGGAATCACTGTTCTTGTTACTTTAAAAGATGTTACATCGGTAAATTAGGGCACAGTTTGAACACAGTCACTGGGACAGTTTCAGCCCATCTTGAACAACTTCAAGGAAAAATTTCTTATTTGATAATATTAACACTGATCTTAAAAAGGTACTGTAGAAGTCACTCTTCCTACTAGACTTAGGTAATTCCAGACTCATAACTCAGACTCCAAACAGTCTATACTAACCACAGCAGTGACTGCCAACTTCAAACATCTAAAGAGAAAGTAACAGAAATCTGCTCACATCTCTTGCTTCATACAGAAGGCAAATGGCATAATGCAACCAGATTTCCTCTCTGCATCTGCTTTGCTTTCCTTTTTCTTCCCCTACTTTCCACAAGAAGCAACCCACAACTGTGACCTACATTTAATGACTAAGCTGCTATGAAAGTGAAAAATCTATTATTTCTTCAGAAAAAAATAACTCCCAAAGCTATCATAAGTCCATTATATTATATACAGAGCATATTAATGATGTATATAACTCATGAAGAGAGATCAGTGTTTTCTCTTAGTTCAAAAGACATCTTAAGTTTCATATCAAGATATGAAGTAAGCTAACCAAAACAGTGAGCAGATACCTTTCTCCTATTTTCCACGTAGCACTGTCATACTGAATGTAATTTAAAATGAAAGCTGTTTCCCTATTTCAGGTAATTTAGTCTGACATTACTAAATAATGCAATCAGAATTTTGCTCGAACCTTAACATGTATTAAATCAAAGTATCCTGTGCATGCAAGTCTTGAAAAACCATTTCATAACATGACTGCACGGTCAGAAAGGCTGAGTTATGAACTACATACACATTTAGACATATAAAATGTCTTAAAAAACTAGAGAGACATATTTCCTAAAAAATGCACACTATCTTTGGCTTAGTAGGAAAGAAAATGTAAAACTCAGATCAGACATAAAACTGGTGGATGTATTAATAAGCTTTTTAATTGGTGGGGTCTTTTTAAAGAAGACTTTTCTTATGGTAGCACTTCAAAATGTGTATCATTCTTACGAGGATTTTGTATCTTCACTGTTGAATCTGGGTCAGGATGTTGTTTATGTATCACTTGAGTGCAAATCTGTTCAGTCAGAATCTAGCAAGAAAGAAAAAGATACCATATCAATGTTCATTAAGACAGCTTACTGAAAAATAATTGGATACAACACAATCATTATTTCACCATCATTCTAAAAACCATCCACAACAAAACCCACTCATTGTCTTTCTTGATAATTTATTTAATTCTGTTCTTAAAACTCTAAACTGCTTTTTTTAGCTTTCTTACTGCTATTTAAAATACACTGGAAGACACCAAAACAATTATCATAAGGCAAGACCACTGCTATAATAAAATTCTACATATATATGTGGGCATCTGGTTGAGACACCGAGTTATCATTATCTGGAATTGTTCATAATGAGCATAATCAAGCTAAGGGGTGGGGGGAAAATCTCAAGTAGTGGGCTTTGGGAGGGGAAAAAAAGCAGCCCTCAGCTGCATCACGCTAAGGTTTAATGTCATCTGGAACATATCAGCACAAATATGTAAGTAATTTTCTAACAATGTCTTACAAGTAATTAGAAAGATTGGATCTTAACTACAGTGTATTACTACCTCAAATAGGACATTGTATGTGGTCATGGTGAATAAGCTTGTCTGAAGCATCAGCCTTTCAGCCAACAGAGAGAACAATCCATGTCCAAGCATGACTTCAGCTTTTCTCCTAAAGTAGTACAGAAAGATAAAACAAACATGCATTCAACTTGCTTTAGGGGGAAAAGTTTAAAAAATGTGCCCCTGGAAACATATTTTTCTTTTTTTTTTTTTTTTCCTGAAGTTTCACTTTTGGTTAAGGAAAAGGTCAAGGATTCAGATTGTGAAAAGACAAATCATTCCCTGGAGACAGCTGTCTTCCATAAATAAGGTCCACCCCACCCATGGGCCCAAAGAGTTGAAACACAACCGTAGGGCTTTCTTGATAAACATTAAAGAAAGGGCATCTTTGTCCTCATTTCACTCAAAAATGCAACCATGGACAGTAATCTCAACAGTTATCTACTACTTCAGTCAACCTGAGACTTACTAAATCTAGTGCTCAGTAACATGGGGTTAAATCTCACCAGTCCAGTTCTTGCTATTGGTTTTAGTGGAAAAGGACCACTTGAAAAAGCAGGAAGCCATACTACAAGCAAGTATTAAAAGAACCTGGTAAGGAAGTGATAATTCCTGGATACCAGTTGCCAATAACAAGGAATTCCACCACATCAGAAGTATATTCATGGTAAATAAATTGATGTGTACTTCAAGAATAGTAGCTGCCATTCAGTGAAGCCTATTCAGTGATTAACCTCCAATGTAGCTTTTGTCCCTTTACATACAAACACATGTGGATACACACATCAAACAATATACAGACAAAATAATATAGAGAATTTATTTATGTGTCACATACAAAATTTTTCCCTCCTTTTTTGGGGAGGTTTAGTTTTAAGACCTAAACCATGACATCAAAGTACTTACTTTGGAGCAAGATGCTTTAAGAAATAACCCATCACTTTTAGAGCTTGCACCCTGATGCCTTCACTTTGTGATGCTAAAAGCTTGTAGACAACCCTAAGTGGAGAAAAGACAAGTCTTTCTAAGTAGTTGAAATACACAGCAATTTTTGGAATTAAAAATCAACTGCAGTTGCAGTAAATGAAAATAAATTTTATCTGAGCCTAATTTAAAAGAATACTAATAAGACTTAAAAAAACCAGGATGACATTTCTGTTAATGGCACAACAGTTTGCAGTATTGCATTTTATCCCACTTAAATATCTCCTGAGTATGAATACATAAAACACGCTCTGAAAGGCTGCTGCAGTTCCTATACTGAAAGCCTTCTTGATCTGATACTTAATCCAGAAAACTAAGTAAGCAATTGTTTTGGTATAAATGTGGCTGGATAGGAAGAGCCACGTATGGAGGGGGATTTACAAACAGCCCTAATATTTGATATCTGCACCCACTGTTGCTCCCTCAGGAGGGACAGAGGAAGGCACCAAGCCAGAAGGTATTCTTCTCATTTCACCTACATCAGCTTCTGCTCCTCACCTGGTTATGACAAGGCTCTACACTCGCTTATGATTCTCTACCAAGAAGAAAGCCAAAGCAGATGAGGAGAGTGTCCATACCAAAGCACTAGGCTTAACTAACTGAACAGTTCCAGCTGTAGTTTTCCCAAGAAAGGAAGAGGGAGTGTAACTAACACAGCAAGGAAAGTGTCCACGTAACTGGTGAAAATCTGATAAATTAATAAACAAGTGAAGTACAGCCTTACAGTGGGAAGTGTCCAGTAATTACCCTTCAATATATTTGACACTACCAAGTCAATCTGTAATACTGCACAGGCCTCATTGCATGTATCTATGCCTTTCACTCCCTGAATAAAAAGAAAGTGAACTGAATATTTTATCTTAACTTCTCAAACATTTATCTGCAGTACATTAAAACTTGCTCTTTTATTAAAGGAAGTTTAACGTGAAGAATAACAAACGCAAGTATTTGATCCTTATAAATCTGCCATAAAAACATAGGACATCTAAATGTACTTATAAATTATATCTAATTTCTTTCATAGCTCACTTTTTAGACAAGTAGAGTGATTATGAACATGTCCCTATCTGATTCTAGTTGGGCTGTGGTTCATACTATTTGACAGATCTCTGAATTTGTAAAATAAGGTTCAGGTCTTTCTGAAAAAAAGAAAATATTAATTTCCTTATGATCCACAAAATCATACTGGAACAGAAGGCACAGTACTCAGCTTTTACTGTAAATATGTTCTGATAAAATTTTTTAAGAAGTTAGAATCGCTTCACTAGGGGGAAGGGGAAAAAAAACCCTACCTAATATAAACAGTTTTGAGACTTTCCAAAAATATTCCATGTTACAACAGGGGATTTTAGATCAGCTGGTTTTAAAGATTCGAAAGGACTTCAAGGCCTTATCTATAGATAACTGAGCACTCATCACTAGCTATATACTTTCACATGTATACATTCAAAAATAATAGTCAGGACACCTAAACTAAGACCAAAAAAAAGATTTAGTTCTATATCAGAATTAAAAATAAAACCTAAGGGTGATTAAAAAACAGTTACCTATTACAAACAACTTATCCTGGAGAAAGCTGCAACCACAGCAGCTACAGAAGGAAAGAAATAAGCAAGCCTACAATGCACTTTCATTCAAGCAATATAATCCATTTGCCTGCTTAACAGAAGAGTTAAGGGTTACCTATTTGCATAGGAAAAAATTATTTCCTTATTATATTATTTCAATGGATTGGTTACTTTTAAATTTTTAATTTTAAGAGAACTCCAAGTATTTCTAAAGCTTCTTAAAATTATTTTAAAATTTCAATAATATGGTGTCTTAATTTCAAAAAGCAGATGTATCAAGAAGCATACAAACAATCTATTAAGTGAATGGAGACAACACAGGAGCAAGAACTGTAACAAATGAGACAGGAAAACAAAGTGATTTCTAGTTGTGGGCTCACTATTCATACTGACTTGCTCATATACTTGTTAATAAAAAAGAAAACATCTACTGCTAGTTGTTAAATAAAACCAAATGTATTGCACTGGAGACTCGATACAACATTGAAATACTTCATTATTTAGAGTTTTTATTAGTTTCCCATGCAAAATATTTTACCATACAAATGAAGTCAAATATCAGGTAAATAGGCTAAAAAAAAAATAATAAAAAAAAAAATCAGTCTGACACTAACAGGGGAGAAAACAATTATGAATATGTCTGAATGCAGTCTCTTGAGAAAGGGTAACTGAAAACAATATATCTATAAATAGAGGTTAATCACTAGGTGCAACTGAATGTATGAAATGAGACTCTGCCTTACACAGTGTGAGAATTACTACTCCTCATATCCTTCAAGGAACAGTTCTTACATTTGTTGGCCTGTTCCAATTTCTCCACCATGTCCAGGCAAGTCCATTTAGAGAAGTTCAATACTGTGACCACCCTCTGAGAGCCACAAGACAAAATCAGTCACAACTTACTCTCCAGTAGATTTCCTCTTGTGCTTTTACTGCTAGTAGAATTTTCTACTTTCCCTACTTTTCTCTCAAGAAAGTGTTATTTTTCTGTTATTTGGGGAAAAGACTGCAAACAACGCATAGCACAAAGTGCTAAATTGAAATAAATAAAATGATTCTTCGGTAAAAGTTTTTCTTCTTCAGCAAAATCTTTTTCCTATGGGACTTTTGCAGAAGAAACATTTTATGTTATTAGATTAGAAGACATCAATTTTTGTCAGCCTCCTTTCAGTTCAAAATGTAAGAATGTTCAGTTCATATGTAAGAATGGGAAGCTGAAGACTAAGCGCTGGTAGATGAAGACATCAATGTATAGACTACAAAAATTGATCATTACCTTCTTAAGTGTGACTGACAGCTTGGAAACATTAAAAAAACATACCTCATTGACAATAAATCCCACATCACCTCCTGTCAAAATGAACACCTGGACTCAAAAATCTCCCAAGACGAGGAGTCTAAGACTGCAACGCAAACACTGACGAGGACCTTTCAGATTTCATGGGAATTCTCACAAGCCACAGGATGGTCAAACACACTGTTTTCCTTTTTCCCACTTAACAAAATTCAAACTTACTGTAATCCATTCCTCTGATCAAATGCAGGGATCATAGAATTGGGATGCTCTGACATCAGAGCAACAAGCAACTGCAAGACATCCATTAGATTGTCATCCTGTTGAATAAAAGTTACAAATTTGAATTGGATGTACACTAGAACATGGTTTTGGTTAAAAAAAACTGCTACAAAATATTTCAAAATTATGTGGACAGTAATCATAAACCAAGGACCAAATCAATTAGGCCAGGATCAAAAGAGCTACAGATCTCAAGGGCAAGTGCAGAAGAAAATATTACAACGAATATACTTTACTTTCTAGGGTGAAAAGTGATGCATCTGTGTCTGGGATGTAAGCTTTGACAGGGAATGGATATTTGCACTAGGCTATTTCCTTGCACACACATGCTCATCTGTTTGCATGTGTATTTAATAGTCCTTCACTGCACAGGAGCTAGAAGTAAACTGCTGCACATTTTCTGGAGCACAGAGTGGTGTTTAATGAAAAAACAAGTGTTCAAGCCAGAAAAAAAAATTACCACTTCCTGCCACAGACATTTAAAATGGATAATTCAAGCTGCTCAGTAAGGTGTTCCATACTTCTAGTCTAAAGCACTCTAAACTACAGTGTATTAATTTGCTCCATGTTTACTGTTAACTAAAAAGAACTAAAGAAGTAGCAAAATGCACCTGTCTTTTCCCATTTTTTGTGGTATTAAACTGAAAGCTCATTTCAAAACAAACAAACAAACAAACGCTGTAAAAATAAAAGCCCATAAAAAACCCATTGTTCAACACTTTTGAACAAATACTGGTTCTTTCTCTATTTGAAAAGCAGTTTCACACCCCCTGAAAAACTCTGCTGACCTGACGATATTATCAACTTCCATGACAGAGGTTACCACTGATGAATTAGCTCTATAAGGAGGCTGAATTCTACTTTTTTTTGTTGATATTTTTCTGAATTTACAGTTAGATACCTAACAGCGTGGGATTCAGCATTCCTGGATCTTTCAGACTTGAATATGCAAACTGCTAAGGTATTTAAAATATCATGCCCTCATCTGAAGGCTATATAAAGCTTCTGCTATTTCAGCTCACTTTTAGATGTAACCAAGAGTCTTATTTCATACTTCTCCACATAAACTAGAATGACTTGAATGATACTACAAAAGTAGTAGTAAACAGCACAGAGTATAAAAGAAAAATATAGGTGTAAACATTACAAAAAGAAAAAAATCCATACTGCTTGAAATGAAGCTCAATTAATTCCTTATTTTACCCATTTCAAGCACCCTTACAGAGACGAGATCAGTTAGATTTATGTCCCCATTTCCCTTGTCTTTGATGTTGCATCTGGCATAAAGTGCCTTTTCCTGGTGCTAAAATATGAAGATGCAGATGTATCAGTGGTAACCAACATTTTCTCCCAATTAAGTTTATATGCTTCTCTTAGATGCCATTAACATACATCTTTATTTTTTAATGCATGTTTTCAATTTTACTGCTTTATTTAAGAAGCAAAATAAAAAGGAGGGAAAAACAAAACAAAAAATATTACTCAGGCAGCCTAAACCAAGGTTTTGACTCTTTTTTTAAAGTCAGTCTCACCATCTGTTTTTCTGCTTGCTAAATTGGTTTGCAGAACAACATAAGAAACCATTTTGACTTACTGGCTTAATGAACCTCAATCTACCATTGAACATAGTGCTTAAATCACTTCAAGAATATTGGAATATCAGCACACTAAAGAATTGGACGAGGTTTCCTACTTCCTCTGCAGAGCCATCTTGTGGCATAAAGGAGGTTATATTTGAAAATATTCAAATATTTGGTGGTCACAAGCAGCAGTAGTATGCCACTCCTCACACATACATCCCCCTCCAAATTAAAAATTACCTCGTGTATAGTGAGCAGATAATTGAGGATAGCCTGCAATTCATCTTCTTTTATTCCATAGTCCTTTAAAAACAAACAGGTTTTAAATACCAGCATTCAAATACAAAAGTACTGTTCCCCCAAAAAAGCACTATTTTAAGCAATGATTATATAACACAGCAAGTACCACAAGACAAATTCATTTTCACTCGATACTATAACAGCTTCATTGTCAGAAGGTAGCTTTTTCCCTGCCCCTAGAAGAACCCACTGAATGCTATAAAAGTGTTTTAAGACAATTTCAACACAGGCAAAAAACCAAGATAAATAGCAATATACTACATAGAGTAACACATGTTAATTGATACAGTCAATTTGATCTAAGAGCTTCCTATTAATAGAAGAATTAAGGCGGCAAAGAGGATTCACAAGTAGACCTGGAAGTTTAATTATAAGTTAGCTATGCCTATATCTGCATTTGCTTCTTATTTTCCACTACAGAATCCCATTTTCAGTTGTTATTAACTTTGAAGAAATCTAAATAACAACAAACCTTGTGAAACTCTACCCAAAACTGTCTAGAAATTAAATACTTGTTTATCCAGTAGTAATCATTTCTAAGTTATTGAGTTAAATCACGACATTGGATAAAAACAACTTAGAAGGGAGAAAAACGCATCTTTAGCGCTGCTGTCTGTAACAAGAGGCACAAAGAAAGAAGCACCTTACGGGGCTCATTCTGTTTACCTACTATTAAAGAATTCAACATGCTTAAAAATTTCTTTATGAAAGGAAATAAATATCCTATCATAATTTAAAGTTATCGTACCTTCATCACGAGCTGTTTAATAAACATCAACAAAAATGCTCGCAGGGATAAAATCTCTTTTTGAGTAGGCCGTGGACCATCTGTAAAAGAAACATAGATATATGAAATACAAATTAACAACTGTTATTAGCATAGAAAGCATTTTTCACAGAAAGAAAAATAAAAGGCATTTTCTGGGTGAAGAAGGTCCAATTCTAAGTAAAGTCATCTTCCCTCTGTTTCAGACTACAAAACAGTAATGTGTTTTTATCACTTTTTATTAGCAGAATGTCTAAACAGTGAGGTTCTAATAAGGCTTTTATTAAATACAGTTTTTCTAAAACCCTCTAAATTCTCCTAATGATTTTACCACTTCCTTGCAGTGCTATGAACCAACTTTATGCAAGGAATAGGACTGATATGAAAACTTTACATCAAAATTTACAGATTTCATATTTTTGCACTTGAGAATTCTCTTTAAGGTTCTGCTAAAGCTCAAAGAGCTACATGCTATTATTACACACTGGCTATATAAACAAATATCAATCTTACAATGCTATGTGTAAAGATTACCTTGAAAGACATAACTTAATTTGTTAACTCAAAGTCAAAAGGACTGGCTTCTGCCACCGCTGTGTAAAGCAGACTTTCACTGAAACATTTTAAATACTCAAACACTCAGTAGTTCCCAGGAGAGACAAGGTTAAAAAAACAGGTGCAACCAAATGTCAAAGTCAAGTAAAAGTTTGCATACAGAAAGCAAATGAACTGTCACAAGTACATTTCTGGGGATAGCTCTTACATTTGCTTTATAGGTTCACAGTTCTTATGATCTTAATCATCCCAGAAAAGCAAATCAACTCGTGAATGAAAGTGATCATGAGTCTGGTTATATCAAGTAGAAGCCTACAAGCTTCTTTGGTTTATGAAGAGTTATTTTCTATATAAATTTAAAATAGTCAAAGAGTCAAAATAAGCCATTAAACTGCATTACTAATAGTATCCTACAAGTACACTAGCCTCAATAAATCACTTCAGAAACTTTTGCTTCTTAAAGGATGTAAAATACTACAAAAAAATCTTTACAACCCTCTAACAGGAAGGGCTGGACATTTTGAGAAGTTGGTGGCAGGAAGTCGGACACATCTAAGGAGCACTCACTCCTAGTCTATGTATCTCTCTTTCATCACCTCCTTCTCTCTCTGAAATTCCAGAGCCTTTCATTACAGAAGACAGTAGAGATACAAGTTATTTGCCCTTTGTCAAGGCTTTGTCAAGGTCCCCAACCACACAAAACACAGAACAACAGTTAGATAAGCTGTGAAGTCAGACTTCCAAACAGCATTAATTCCCTTATCTGTGCCAGCTCCATCTGCACGTGTTTATGTTATGCTGGTGCACACTTCACATCTCCCAGTCCCTTTTACAATACCGGATTTCTCAGTCAAGCAGCTATTCCTTTTGCTTGTTTCCTTAGGATCAGCATACTTGCTCTGAGTTTCATGACAATAACAAGTACTAAACACCTGTTCTAAATTTTTTCTCAGTTCTTTCTGCATGAGTTCACTGCCTGAATTAAGCATGCTCATTAAGCACTTTTCCAGCAAATCCCTACACCAGTCAGATAGATTCAGTATGCTTGTTTTCAGCTGTACTGCTAGCATCAATAGATCACAGCAACACTTAAAAAGACTGTCCAGTACTTGAACAAGCTCCATAAAGAGACGACATTCCCAGGCATGGCTCTACACTTCCAACACCCTACCATTTCTCTGACCAGTTCTGTTTCATATTAGTCGACATTCTGATGACAGAGGATATGACTTCTGAAGAAATTTCCTTTAGACTGTGAAAAAAATCTTTCAAGTACAAAAACACACTGTTCAAAGTAATAGAGAGAACCCACCCCATTAAAAGGAAATTATTTCTGGAACATCTGCAGTTCTATTCTATACAGCGTATACAAAACTTGTTAAAAATAAATCGTGAGAGCAAAAATAAATTGTGAGAGAAAAAATTAATAAAAAAACAGACATACCTATGCCCTTGGGAGTTATACCACTGCGATCCTGAGGGTTCACTACCCAGTAGTAATACTTCAGGGTGTGCATGACCAGAAGAACTGTCCCAACCCGTCGGATTGCTCCATATATGTTAACAGTGGCAATAAACTCAGTAGACAGGTAAGTGTATAGGGTCAGCTGAGCCTGCAATATACAATCAGGAGAATAAAAATCATTTTAGTTCCTCAAATACGGCATGCCAGACAAATAAACTCTTACATTTCATCTTTTAAAATGTCTTAGAGAAATAGATTTTCTCTGCGTGGCTCAGTCACAAAGTCCTTAAAACCTTTGCAAATGAATGGAAAAATTCATTAAATTTCTAAAACTCTGTTCCTCTCACAGAACAGAGATTCACCAAAACAAAAATACTGTCAATTTAAATGAAGACTTCAAAGCATAACTTGCTCTTTAAAACTTGCTGAGTTTTTGACAACTAGCCCATCCAAAATTCCCTCTCAGTCTGGGTCAGGGACTCCAGAAGTTACTTACAACTTTCTTCTGCAGAACACTGCAGATTTCCAAACTCCCTGAAAACCTTGGGGGTTTGCAAAATTTGACAGCTCTTGTCTGAAAACAATTCCTGTATGATTTCTGCTGGGGAGCAAAGACCTGTAACTCTCTGAGTTCAGGCTTAGTTTCAACACTCCCAAATCAACACATCGTAACTATCTTATACAGAAGAATGAGTAATTTTACCTGTGCTGGAATATGGATCCATATTGCAGGATTAAGGAGAACATGATCACACAGCTGCTTCAGCAAGGGCACCCCATTGTGTAAGTTGCTCAGGTATTTTGAAAAGGCAAGGCAAAGTTCTAGAACAGCTCGGGTAACGTGGGCTTTGGAAGACTGTAAAAGAAGATCCGCTTAAGGAGAGTCCTGTAACAGTCTAGGAAAGTATTTCTCTCAAAAAAACTCAACACTCATGTAAGACTTCAAGAAATATTTATTTTACCTTTTCTAGGCTATATCCTATCACGAGGAAGCCTTTACAGGAAAGCATCTGTTCTTGCATAGCAATAGAGTTCTTCAACAACTCCATGATGAATGCCAATAAAGTAGAACTGGAAAACATGGTTTAGTAAATGAAAATGTTCTTAAGATTTACAACAAGACACAAAATTTCTCTTGAAATTTCTCTTGAAAGCCTTTCCTAGTTCATTTTCTCCGTGATAGGAATAAGCTCAAGAGAATCATTCATAATTCTCCTACACAAAAAAAATTGTGAAGTGTAAAATGTGTACATTTTGGTTCTGTGTGAGCTTTCACAGAACATTTGGTGCAAACAAGCACATCACTTTGAGGTCCTGCCTGTTGTTAGACAAAACTCACTGTCACACAAGACAATACAAACTACTATGCCATTTCATAAAGCAATAGGTAATTTCCTTTACTTACAAAGAAACAAAGAAAGGGACACAATTAGCACATGCACTCACCAAACAGTTGTGTCGATGTGGTCTGATGAATATTGCCTATAGTCTAACTGTGCAAAGAGAGGGAAAAGCACCTGCACTCCTCCAATGGAGTGCAGGGCGCTTTGGATAGAGTGCGTTAAGACGGCTTTCACATCCTGCCAAAGAAGAAACAAGAAATATTGAAACCTCCCTTCAGAAACTGTTAAGAAGTTCGTTAAAAAACAGTTTTTAATGTCTTCGATATGAGAGCTGTATTATTGCCAAATAAAAAGAAACAGCAAGAATAACAAACTGGCTGCCACAGCTACACTGAACATCCAGACTGCCTGACCTACTGCTCTAGATACAGTCTACAGTGTAGATCCTCAGATCAGTACACAGGAGGTGGCTTGTAAATTCTAAAACAACTCTCTAGTAACAGAGAAACTCTAGAACAGAACACATGAAAAGCTTCTGACAATTTAATAGGTGAGGGCATTCAAAGCATAAGGAACAAAACTATTTCATATCAACAGGGCAAAGGACGAGTGATAGGTAACATCTGTAGGGGAGGGAACATGTCAGAAATGAGGAAGGATTTTTTTAAAGCCAATACAGCCTTTGTAATACTGACATTCTTTATTCTTTACATAGAATAAATTTTTTTCTTAGGATTCTTATGCACCCACTTTAGTTCATGAAATGGGAGGTAGCAGCAGGGCTCAAAAAAACCCAACGTATAAGGTATTCCCAAAATTATCCAAATCCCTGTAAAACTTGATTTTAGTTTTTCAAAAAAAAAAACGTTTATATACCTGCAGCATGAGGGCATGTGGTGAATGAACAAAAATAGAAGGGTTATCCTTAGGGGATGACTCTAGACACAGCTGTGCATCTGTAGCCCTTGGATTGTACATAAAAGCAATAGCACTGGATAGTTTGCCATCATACAGCAACAATTTGTGATGTTCATCAAGGAAGAGATCACTTTCTGCCTTGAACTTGAATGTCCCCTGGATTGGGAAGCAGGGTTGAAGAAGGAGAAAAAAAAAAAAAAATTAGATTACACACATGGAAGATACAATTCAGAACATAACTACTGCCAAAAAAATGACTAAAACACTGCTTCTTTAATCTAGAAATATTTAATAAAGAAGGGGTCTCAAGAACATTGAGTCAAAGTCAATTTTACAGAATTAAAACTGCAGAATTTTTTTAACCCCCTGAAGAGCATCATTGCCAAAATGGTGGGTAACGTAAAAGAAACATATTAGCTTGGAAACAGCATGACTGTCAGCAACGTTCACTCAGAAGGAACTAATAATTGAGGAACAGATAGAAGAAGAACCATCTTTTTTAGCTTATGTTTTTACAGCTGCTAGGGAATAACAGTCTTCAATTAGTGCCCCTCAGGCTAAGACAAAACAAATAATAAATCACTGCAACACAACTAATCCTCAGCACTAACTTCACATGTTAAAAAAGTCTGACTAGCACAAGCAACTATAAAGCTACATTTCTAAAACAAATACATCATACTTCATCCGAAGCGTTCAACCTCAGTGAAATAGTGAACCTGACCAGAGACAGCAGGGGTGTTTTCTCCCTCTCCCAACCACCAACACTGAAATTTTGAGAAGCAAACAGGAACACCACTCTTTTTATTTTCTAGGAAAATAAATAATCGAATCAACGCTTACTTGTAGTCTGTGAGGCGATACAAAGGCTTACAGAAAAACATGGAAGAGTTTACGTATGTTACAACGCCACAACATTCTTAAAACCCACCACTGTCTTAGCAGCATTAAATTTTTAATAGTCAATTCTAACATACCTTATAGCCCAGACCAAGCTGATAAATAGCAAAGATCTGAGCAGCATTGAGGGCTTCACTAAAAAGGTAAACAGATGTCATTTGTCCGCAAAACACTCGATTGGCATCTGCTGTTTCTGAAGAACCCAGGAAACATTTGTCAAACGTCTGAAAATAAAACAGAACTCAGTCACAGGGTTAATCTACGCTACACAAACAAATTATACCAAAAAAATACACATTTTTCCAGGGAATATTTTTATATAAACAAGTATTTGAGGGTCTCAGTAGAAAAAAATTTTAAGTTCTGAGATGTATAAAAGCACAATTTATGCCTCTACCAAAAAATTACTAATTTTAAATCAACACTTTTTAAAAACGCATGAAATGGGGGAGGTTTATTAATAAAATGGAAAAGAATAATTACGAAATCCATCAATATGATCAACTAACTATGAGTATTAATGCACAGGGATTACTTACGTCATTGGTGTTGACAAACCATGTTATTTCTCCATAAGATGCCAGTTCCCCGTTGACATAACATCGAAGTTCACTGTTCTTCCAGCGGTTGTAGATGTGCACTATAGTAACCATATACCACTAAACAATAAGAAAACAATTTACATAATTCTATAGATACCTAAAGAGGGTTTTACCATTTAAGTGGGGCATAGTAGAACAAATTTATGAGAAATAAATTAAGACTCACAAATGTATTTGAAGTAGAAAAGATTAATAAGTCATTGTTGAGTTTTCTTGCATTGCTATGTCAAAGAGTATTTTTCCAAAAAAGATGACACAGAAGCTTACAAGATATTTATGGCACATAACTTAAAAAATCTTTATGGCACTGCTGAACCAAACTTACACTGAAACCACTGTGTAAATAAGTTCTAAGCTGGGTTACTCGTAGCATGATGGACTGCTACAAATGTCATTCCAAAGAGCAAGGATGGCTCCAGACTAAAGCCTTTCAAAGGCTGTGCATGTCAAATTATCACAAACAGAATCCATATTTACAGCAAGAGATTACTGATAAGAAATTCCTGAGGAGGTCTGTTCTTCCACAAAATGTTTACACCAGTTGCTACAGAAACATTAGCAGAGTATCTAATTGAAAAAGGAAATATTCAACATTGTATAACACTACTTAAGAGGCAAGCCAGCCTTGAATATTAGCAATAAAATCAACTCATATTTTAATTCTTACATTTAAAAAGATACATAGAATAGAGCAGCAAATGCAAGGAGACTACTTGCTGGACAACCCGGATGAACACAAAGCATAACATTCTTTCAAGAATGATCTGTTTTCTACCACATGTAAGACCACCAAACTCCTATTAATGGCCTTGGCTTGATTAAGAAAACTAAATGTGTGTTAGTAAATGTGCTCTTTTAAAATAACACTGTATTTGCCCACATTGAGTAAGTGATGACATAAGGGGAGCCTGAGCAAAACCTCTTATAAAAAAAGGAGAAGAGAATGTCTGGAGGTACAAGAAAACAAAGAAGGAAAAAATAAAATCACAAGCATTTTCACTTTCAAGCTGTGTCCATCTACTAAGAATTCTCAGAGAGCTCACACAAGTCTCAAAAATTCACAAAACATCTGGTAAGCTTTTCTATCTTTCTTATACGCTGCATAATTAAAAAGAAATAAGATTTCAGAACACAAATTTGTTTTGCTCGCTCCAATGTAACTTTTGTTCTACAGAAAGATGAGCCTAATCAATACCTACAACACACACTCCCAGGCTACAGTTTTAAATTCATGAAACCTATTTGAACGATCTTATTATTGTTACTCACCTTCTGTGGCTTGAAATCAAATTTTACACAATGCTGGAAACCTTTTCCTTTTGATTTTATGGACGTTACAATCAGGCAGCCTCCGACAAAGTGAGCAGAATAACCAAGTCCTTTGTTTGTTCGAAAACTGACAAATTAGAACAAAATCAGCACGTACACAGATGGATGCAGAAATCATTGAACAATGAATAGAAAATGAACATCAGAAATGCGGTTTTACACAACACTCACCAATATAAATAAGGCTTATCCTTATCCACATTAATATTGTTTACAGGATCCATTCTTAGCCAAGTGTGGAAAGTAAATCCATTCTGGTACGGCCACTTGGCTATAGGAGGTAAGGCAATAGCCTAAAGGAAGTAAAAAGTTATTCATGTAGAAAGATCAACATCACAATAGTGAAAGCACACAGGTCAAGACACACTCTACAAATATACACTGATCCACAGACACACTGCAAATGTGTACAGTTTCTTTATGCTTAAAAAAGATCCAGCCTAACTTGTGCTTTTTGTAATTGTTACAATATTTAATTCATCCATGTATTTAAAAACTGGTCTTTATATCTCAAAGAAGATTATTAATAGCAAGCCACACTTTCAAACTGAAATGCTTTAGTTGGAGACAGGCTATAACAACTTCTCAAAAGGTAAATTTAAGTAAATTTGGTTTTGCGGTAACCTGACAGAATAATCAGATTTATAAACTTTACTTCACATAGTGTTGGTATTTAGGAAAAGAACCAACTATGAAGGAAAAGCTGTGTACATTTCACTTACCAGATTCTATTCTCTCTTGAAACTCATGTCTACATAGATTTCCAGTGAGAAATATGACAAACTTCCTTAAAAGAAAGTTAATACAATCCCCACCAGCCAAAATCCTCATCTCAAACACGGGCTTCGTTAGCCCAAAAGCTCTTAAGTTTTAAACTGTATATTGGTACCCTTTGTTTCAAACAAAGGGTTTGGGTTTTATTGTTTGGGAGTTTTTTGTTTGGTTACGGGGTTTTTTTAAACATTACTATCAACTTTCCCCTGTTTTGCTGCACAGGTTTGCAATACACACTTCAGCCATAACCTCTGATCAAAGATGCTGTCAAGATGATCAATACCAATGAACAAAAAAACATCAAAGAACTCAATGTTGCCAGACTCCTTGTTATGCTCCCCTGATCCATTCAGCTACTCCTGTCCAAACAAAATGCTATAAATCCTTCTCTATACCAGCCAACTAATCAGTCTGCATGTCTTGGAGCCCAACTTTTGGGAACTCGTAGCACTATCACTTGATTTAACTCACAATGGATCTTGGAGTAATTATAAGAAATACTTAATTTCTTAGACTTCTAAATTTAAAAATATATAAGAATATTCACATTGAGGTTACTGAGGCACCCCAATACCACATATGGTTCAAGCACTCCACATAATTAAAGGAAGTTAAATACAAAAACACTACATGAATATCCCAAAGGACCAAAAACATGTCTGTTCATTGCCAAGTTCTGTTACACGCGATAAAACTGCAGAAGCATTTTTCTAATAAGCCTGCATTTTTCAGTCTCGAGTTTTCATTCCAGAAAAAATTCATTATGTCATCAAGTTGATGAAATTTAATCTCAAGCCACCAAGGCTGAGAGGTAATGGGTTTATGTGAAGAAAACTGGAAAGAGCCATCTGATAAATCTTATTCAAATCTTGTTCTGAATTAAGCATGAAAGTTTTGAACATAATTTTTCATCCTACAATTTTAGAAGCAAAAGTGTTGACATACTTGAATTCCTACAGAAGATTTTGCACAGAGTTTTCCAAATACCTGTTTAGTTTCAAATTCTTTTTCAAGTGAACACCACAGAACTCAAAAATTAACTGTTCGGCCGCTTGAACAATTACAAAAAGACTAATCATGGCTAAATATAATCTTTTTCAGAGTTGTTCCGCATATAAATGTCTAGGATCTATGTTTTCTCAGAGAATTCTTCTAAGCAATATATGTTATTCACATCATCTGATCACTAAAAATAATTATAAATGGTACAAGTGCAACGACTTCTAGTTCAATACTTCTTGCTGTTTCCGTAGCAAAGGTAGATGTAAGGCTGTATTGGGAATGTGTGGTGAGGTTTTGGTAGAGGGGGGCTACAGGGGTGGCTTCTGTAAAAAGCCTCTAGAAGTTTCCCCCATGGCCAGCAGAGACAGTGCTCCAAGATGGAGCTGGCCAAGGACGAGTCTCTCAGCGATGGTACAGCACCTCTGGGATAAAATATTTAACAAGGGGGAATGGCAACTTCAGCTGGAGAGAGGAGTGAGAACTGTGAAAGAAACAGCTCTGCAGACACCAAGGCCAGCGCAGAAAGAGGGGGAGGAGATGCTACAGACACCACCAGAGCTGAGATTCCCCTGCAGCTCGTGGTGCAGACCACGGACAGGCAGCTGTGGCCCTGCAGCCCATGGAGGTCTGCAGCGGAGCAGAGATCCACCTGCAGCCTGTGGAGGAGCCCCACACCAGAGCTGGTGGAGGCCCAAAGGAGGCTGTGACCCCATGAGAAGCCCATGCTGGAGCAGGCTCCTGGCAGGACCTGTGGTCCCATGGAGAAGCCCACGCTAGAACAGGTTTGCTGGCAGGACTCGTGACTCTGTGTGGGACCCACGCTGGACCAGACTGTTCCTGAAGGACAGCAGTGCGTGAGCAGGACTCACACTGGAGAAGTTCATGAAGGGCTATCTCAAAAGGTAGAGTTCCAGAGGAAGACTGTGAAGAGGAAAGCAGCAAAGACAAGATGTGATGAACTGACTGCATTCCCCATTCCCTGTCCCCCTGAGCCACTCAGGAGAGAAGTGGAATCTGGGAAGAAGGAAGAAGTGGGAGGAGATGTTTCTAAGATTTAGTTCGTATGTCTCATTACCCCTCTCTGATTTGATTCTTACTAAACTAAATTAATGTCCCCAAGTTGAGCCTGTTTTGCCCGTGACAGCAATTGAGTGATCTCTCCCTGTCCTCATCTCAACCTACAAGCTTTTCGTTGTATTTTCTTTCCCCTGCCCAGCTGAGGAGGGGAGTGATTGAGCAGCTTTGGTGGGCACCTGGTATTCCAGCCAAGGCCAATCCACCAGAAAGCCACTCTCACACATACTGGATATTAGCATAAGCACCATTCCTACAGAAACAAGAGGGGGGGAAAGCAGGTAGATTCTCCCTGCAATAAGATTTAACTGAACTAGTCTCTAAAAAAAAATAACAAAATCAAAAAGAGCAGCCTCATTTATATTCATTCTTTGTGTAACAGTATTTGTCCTTCTATAGTGATATTGCACAAGCATGAGTTATTCAGGCACAATGTAGGTGTTGGGCAGAGAAAAAAAAATCTGATTAAAACTCTTATGACAATGACAGATGAGATAAAGAACACCACAAATGAAAACAGCCAACGGTCATAAGAGAAAAACAAATGAACAAACAAGAGACTTAAAATATCTACATACTGCAGCACTTTTTCCTGGAAAGTTGAAGAAGGCATCAGGTCCATACTTCTGAGGCATGTGTTTTAACACAGACAGCAACTTCCCAGCATGCGGTGGCTGACAAAGAGAATTATTACACTCGTAAATAAATAAACCAACCTATAAGAAATACTATAAACACACAAAAAAATTAATTTTGAGACATTTTAAAACTTGAAGACAACTAATTAGGTAACTTAACTAGGGACTTAAAGGCCAGAGCCACTTTCACCCAGCACAAACTAAACTGACCCATCAGCAAAACCACGACAGTGTGACTCTGCAGTAAGCTGAAGAAAATTAAGTGATTCAGATGAAAACTAATTCAGGAAAAACAAATGCAAACTAATTTTTAATTACAGCTGTTCTGGACTGTGGCAGCATGAAACCTGTGCCAGCACAAGGGAGATAGTGAATACCTAGCAAAAGGAGGACCAGAAAGACATGATTATTTTCATCAAGACTACAGTCATAAACTACATTAAACAGATTTGTAAGTCCACGGAGAAAGATGAGATTCTCAAGGGCAGTTTAGAGCACCTGAACTGAGTGCTCAGTGTGAATACTTAACACCTCCCCACCATCCTAATTCTGCACCGATTTTGTTGTAATACTCAGTAACTATGAACTCCAAATCAAGTATATGAGCTCACAACAACAGAAGTACAATTACATGTATCTTCTTTCGTAACCTTCAGTGAGACCTATCTCTGAACTACAATTTTATAATTTTGATATTTTCCTGAAAGTGCCCTTTCCCTGCCTCTTGTAAAAACAATCAGCCTCTGAAAACTAAGCATTGCATGACGTGTTACAAGTATTTCAAATGTACCAAAATGACAGTCAGCTAAACAGCTGAGTCCTGCATTCAAATTGAGGAGGAAATGCTGAGAACTGCTTAGATGTCTTCAGTGCTATAGAATTTGACCTGGTAATTTGTGTAGTAGCAAAATACTTGGCATCCTTACAGCATTGCTGATTTTAAGATTTACGGAGCTGCACAACTCCTTAGCAATGCAACAGTGGCATTTTTCTCATTCTTTCCTCTGCCTTTAGTCCTTAATAAAGAAAGGAAATTAAATGCAAATAGCAGAGAGACAGGAAATGAAAAAGTTAATGTTAAATAGGCCACTTTAATTCATCTATGGTTAAATATGCTCTGTATGTTCAATTAACTTTCAACCATCTGTGAAGTTTCGAGTATTTTTATTTAAGCAGGTTAAGGTCTCCAAACTTATTTATTTCAAAGGGTCTTTTAAAATTTGCTGTATTATATGTGCATACTTCTTGTTATATTGAATACTCCTTTTTAAAATTATTTGAATCGACAGAGACATTGTGGTACCTTTTCTCTACACTAGGCAGACTATTTAGAGATAACAGGAGCTGAATTAAAATTCAAATCAGGTAAAACGATTGTTAAAATAATTTCCAAGTCCAGCAAGACAACTGGGTGTTAGACAAAACTTTATCCAGTGGCCTCCACAACACAAACATTTTTACTTTCAGGAATGAGGTTCTGAACAGTAAAAGGAGACCCTCCTCTCCCTTTCTATTTTACACAGGAACAGGAGAAAAATGATACAATTTTTCAGTAGAGTTTATTTCCTTCAATTCGATTTCTGCCAAAAATTCTCACTTCCCTAACTGGATAGGTTTTCTCAGTCTTCAGGTAAAGCAGAGCAATGTGAAAATATGAGCAGAAGGAACTGCCTGTGTAAGCATTTTTAATTTATTTCTGTCTCATGACTTAACCAAAAAAAAAAATAATAAGCCTTTTTCCTTCAATTTCACATACCTGGAATCACAAAAATAAAATCATGTGCATAAAAACACTTGTTTACAATCTAGTGCATAGATATAAGAGGAAATTTAATTTCATCATCTACTCTCTCTATTTTAATTGCTTGCAGGTAAAAAGGTACACTGATATAGTGCAAGTAAACTTCCTGTAAAAAAAACATAAGCGATACCACAAAAAAATGGTTTCAGTTCTTTGTTTTCTCTTACCCATCTCCCTTTTTCTCCTTGAAGCTTGCTGAAGAATAACTTTAGCTCTCGAACTGTCAAGTTATAGCTGGCCAACACACCCAGCATATCCACTAAGAGATCTGAAAAGGAAAAAGAACAGCCACGTAACTGCTTGACAGAATGCAGTGTCAAATTTCTATCATTTAATTAATGTGTCCACGAGGTTTTATGTAGAAGGAACACAGTTTGAGACATACACTGGGTGAAACTGTACCTGCAATCATGTTGTCAGCTCTGTCGATCCTCTTGAGCACTTGTTCAACCAGCCCCACTTCTGTACACGCCTGTAGATTGCGGATGCTTTTCTTCAGGATTGCTGTAAACATGCTCCACACCTCAGCCTGGCAGGTCACGTCACACTTATCCAGCAAGTCCACCATGCAGGTGATGCCCTCTACTTCTTGGATGATAAAGTTCATTTCCAAGTCAAATTGGCCTCCAACAAGCTTTCAGAAAAAAAGATTTTAAAAAAAATCAAAATTCAGACATCTGTATTAAAGTACAGTTCCATGTTTGAAGTTATTCATTCTGCAAGAAGAAAACTATCAAAGTAGGCTAAAAAAAAATCATAATGAGGCCAATATCAATATGTTGTCTAATTTTTCTTCTGTTTCAAATTCTATTACGTAATAAAGGTGCTGCTAAGGTGTCACCTACTATCAGACAATGGCTGCAGAAAGACATTTGGGTAGTTTAAGACACAGATGTCCCGAGTTGCCCCACACAGTTGAAGACATCAAGTGGGTGTTCTAAAACAGGTGACAGTGACAAAGCAGCCAAGATTCCTTAAGTGGCCTGGAGTGCCCTAGGAGCTTTCCTTTGCATGTGCTTAACACTCCTCAGGTGAGAGAGCAATTCCAGCCAAAAGGAGCTGATGTACATCAGAAGTACTGGCACTTATGAACACCTAAGAGACATTCCTGAGATACTGAATAAAGCTGGTTAAGTAGGAACTGCCAGATTCATTAACAGTCACAGCTACTAAAAGGAAGTAAAGGCTTGCTATATTTGCATGAATGTGGAACAGCAGCACCATTCCAAGCCTTTGACAATGCTTTGGGTTGACACTTAAATCCTGTAATATTTCAGGTCTCCTAGAGGCATGAATTATTTGAACATACACTCAGTAACTAACCACATATGTGTGTGCCAAAAAGGTGGAGGGGTGGGGAGGAAACAACCTGCTTCGATCATTCGTCTACTCGATAAAATAAAAATTCCAACTGAAAGAAAGATGAATTGTATTAACTAAACTCCTTTATCCCAATTCCCTCTCTCCACTTTTTACACTTCTCCTGGATTTTAGAACTGTATAACTGTGAAAATCATGAATCACAGAATAAGCTGAGTTGGAAGGAACCCACAGGGATCACCAAGTCCAACTCCTGGCCCTGCACAGGACCATCCCCAAGAGTCACACCATGTGCCTGAGAGTATCATCCAAACACTTATTGAACTCTGTGAGCCTTGGTGCTGTGACCACTTCCCTGGGGAGCCTGTCCCAGTGCCCAACCACCCTCTGGGTGAAGAACCTTTTCCTAATATCCAACCTAAACCTCCTCTGACACACCTTTAGGCCATTCCCTCAGGGCCTGTCACTGGTGACCACCAAGAAGAGATCAGTGCCTGCCCCTCCTCTGCCCCTCACGAGGAAGTTGTAACTGCAGTGAGGTGTCCCACCAGTCTCCTCTTCCCCAGGCTGAACAGACCAAGTGCCCTCAGCTGCTCCCCACACAGCTTCCCCTCAAGGCCCTTCTTGATTGCCCTCCTTTGGACACTCTCTAATAGCTTAGTGTCTTTCTTATGTTGCAGTGCCCAAAACTGCCACAATATTCATGGTGAGGCCATGCTTGCCCATTATATACCAGCATACAAACAGGAGTGCAGATCGCATCTACTCAAATTATCAAAATGGACTCATGCTCAGAAGTATTTCAGCTTGTTCTCACTTCTACACATTTGTTTAATAAAAGACATTATTTCTGTCCTAAATGGTGTTCCTTTCACAACCTTTGACCATCAACAGCTTCAGTGCTGTCACTGCTGAAGTCATACCATGTCAAAACTGCCTCAAAATGCACATACCAACTTGCTTCCGTATTAGCTCTGACAGCATCTCGCAGCTAGTCAGGATCCAAAGATAAACTTACCCAATGGAACAGAATATACGCTCTTCATTAACCACTGAAATTACCATACATTTTCCTCAAGTGTCTAAATCTTGTCACTTTGAAGAAGCAATCTTTGGACTTCTGGGCATAAATCAGTAATGCCAAACACCACAAGAAGCAGAGAAAGTTACTGCCTTTATGACAGAATAGACAATGTCTCCCGGCAACAATTTCTAAACAGTAATTTACACTTTTCCATTTTCTCCCCTCTTGGTCTTGAAAAATAATTATGCAATTTACTATCAGATGCTTCCTTAGTATGTAGGGAAACTGTAGGAACTGAATGGGGAGACTTGAATTATATTCCTAGGTTCTCTATATCAACTCAGGCTGTCAACTCAAACAGATCTATCAAATCATTACCATTCTCCAAGCCTTAGTTTTCCCCTTCCAAAAGATGGAGCAGAGGCCTACCTCAAGAAAGCTCTGTAAGGCAGAATTCAAGGGAGAATGCTGAGCAGAATGAATTAACAAAGAATTATCTCAAAACAAATGCAAAGAAAAGAGGACAACCCCCTTAAGTAAAACCTGAACGGAGCATTTGAAAACACAAAATCTATAACCAATGTTACACTTCATTTTACACTAAATTTATCCTCTACAAAACTGAGGTATTCCTCAAGAAACTGCTCTCCTTCTTACCATGTAGGTAAGAAATAAAGGAAATACTGCATTTTGTGTAGAGAAAGAACAGCTGAAGGTTAAATTCTAGTCACAAACCACCTGCTAACTCTTAACAAGAAATTCAACTCTTTATGCATTTGGTTTTAACTATCAGCCAACCATCAATTATCACACCAAAACCATATACAGCAACTAGAGGTGACCTTACCTTCACCCTATAGTCTACACCACCAATCTTTCACTTTTGGCTAGATACACTATTATCAGTAACCACCCATCCAGGAAGCTGTCAAATTAGGTTTCCAATCTAATCTGCAAACACAAGCATTTCAGCAAGTACATTCGAGAAATAATATGCTCGGGTAAAAAAGTAATTCCCGTTTTAACACTTCCTTTAAGGGAAGTGAGGACAAAAAAAAAAAAAAAATTACCCAGAGAAAGCAGAATCCCCAAGGCACAGTGCAGCTGATGCACTGTACGTGTGCACCCCCATTAGATACACATAAGCACACACACACACCCCCAAAGTATGTCATATTAACCCTTTCTAATGGTGGTTTGAAACTGATCAACCTTCAAAACACAAATTTGTTTCCAATGACAGGGATCATAATCCAGGTCCAGGCGTTGGCTAGTTATTATCTGAGCTGCAGTAATGGCTGTGCACAGCAAAATGTAATCTTCCCAAATGTCACAGTAAGTTATGAATATCTGAGCAGCTTAATGCACCTTACTAGCCATGAAGTGTGAGAATGTAATCTTATTACCTTTTTTATGGTTGTATTTTTTTGAATAATGTAGCCTTTGAACTGATGTATAGTCTTTCCTTGCACTTTAGCATGATTTGGTCCCCTATGTCGCACAGTACATTTTTCAAAATTCTCCAATTCAACGTATTTTAAGTCCTATGCTGAGCTGCATAAACAATCTTTATAGCAACCTACAGGGTGGCATAACGTTTTCTTTCTTCAGCATGTGGAATTAAGTGCAAGCTTACAGGAATGGCTTTAAAGGGTAGTATTCAAATACATCCTCACAAATTTTAGATTTTGCTAGCTATATTTACCTGCAAAAATATATGTAAACTAAGCCAATAGCTCAAGCTTTTTGGTAAAATGTTTCTACATTTGGCTGACTGAGAACAGGGAGCAATTTTTAACTACACATGCAAAGAGTGTAATTTATTTTTTTTCCTTTAGAGAGTTAAACTAATGAGAAGTCAACATAATAGCACTAATTTTAAGTATAAAGTAGCATTACAACACTTCTAAATAGAACCAAAAAGCCAACTGAAACACATAAAACCTTTCTTTGCAAGGAAGTGATCCAAGATATAAAAGAGATGGTGTACTGCTTGGGTGAGCAACCACCAAACTAGAGCATGCAGAGAACAGATCAGAATAAGCTCAGTCAAGGTCCACTTTCCTCAAAGATCATAATCTAGATTATTAATCTAATTTAAATTATTTCTCCCATTAACAGACATAAAATATTTCAAAAGCTTTTAAGAAAACGTGAAAAAAGGTATTTCAATGACCTGTAACATTAAAAAAAAAGAAACTAATTCCAAAATCAGCATTTCTCCTGGAAAAGCCAATTTGGCTATAGCTGGGAGAACTGCAGGGCTAGATCTCCTCATTTTCACCTCAAACTCCCAAAAAAAGACTTCATTTCTACAAAGCTTCCTCATCGTTCTGTTTTTTTGTTAACTTGGAACACTGAGTGCTTGTTTTGTTCCCTGAAGCCAGGATGAAGGACTATCAACCAAACTGTGACCTCCCTTTAACTCAAGACGATGATTTTGTAATCTCAGAATTCCTTCTTTAATATACTGAAAACATATTAGAGGAGTATATAGATATAGAATATAAAGGAGTATGGACAATGTCTACCCAGTGGAAAACATCTATCCCATGAACTAAAAAAACCACAGTCAAATAGGTTTTTATATACACCCTACTTTTTACCTCTGATCACAAAATAACCATGTTATCCAAAGAGGTTCTATTCTTAATGCAATTTTACATTATGTCACAAAAAAGCCCAACCAAACAAGAAAACCCCTGTGGTTTTCAACCCTCGATGACCAAGTTATCCAGAATGTCCCTAAGTAATAACAAATAAAATATTTTACATTTACTCTTATCTTCCACCAAAGAAATAATCCACCTCCTTGAGTCCATCGCTTTTCACGTATTCAGAAACTCAAAACAAATGCGCTGATCATCAAAAATACATGCCAATGATTTGGGAAGTTATCAGAACTAAAGATCTCTTTATGGTAAGAGTGTCATAGGGTGATCCCAACCTAGTCTAATTCCCTAAGGGTACACAATAAACATCAAAAGTGAGCACCATGGAACATATCCTGAGCGTGATAAAAAGGTGATTGTGATTTGGAAAGGATTCTACAAAACAGAAGAGGAAAAATATAGGGAAAGAGAGTAACTCATACATACTAATTTGCAGCAATCCATTCTCTGCCCATCACCCCTCACTTTTCCATGCAGTCTTTTCTATTACTAACACAACACTTAGAGGTGAGGACACATTAAAATCTGAGTCCTAAGAAGATCTGTCAGGAAAGCCTGTTGATAGTTTGGATAAGTATATCAAAGAGTGACATTAGCATGAACAGCAAGTCAGTAAAA